AGCCCAGGGTTGGCCTCCTCCCCCACGGCCTCTCCAGCCCAGGGTTGGCCTCCTCCCCCACGGCCTCTCCAGCCCAGGGTTGGCCTCCTCCCCCATGGCCTCTCTAGCCTAGGGTTGGCCTCCTCCCCTATGGCCTCTCTAGGGGCTATGCTGCTGAAACCCTGGACCCAGGTGCGAGGAGAGGGGAGGATCAACCACATCTAATAGCCATAGTAGTTGGTACAAGCCTAGACTAGCAGGGTAGTAGAAGCAGAAGAGAGGTTTAGTTGGCCTAGAACCCCTGTCCAGGATCTGTCAGTAACATGCCTGCAAGGGTAGGGGCTAGAGGTCAGGGTCACTGGCCTCTCCTGACATCTGCTGGTCAGTCAGCATTATCCAGTGTGGGAAGGAGGTCAGGGGCAGGGGTACTGGGAGAGAAAGCGTGACTGGTCACACCTTGCTTTGGCTTACCGTGCCTGGGACCAAGTCATGGGTCCCTGTCCTAGAGTGATCCAGGGATGCTAAGTTTAATGGCTCTGTGAGACCAGTGCTTTCTGGAACAGGCTTTTGGTCCCAGACACATGCATAGGATTAGCAGTTCCAGTTTTCTGGGTTCATACCTGCCCTAGGTCTTGTTCCAAGGACTCCTGGGTCCTCAGACCACTGCTTCCTGAAGTGTGGGGCCCTGCTGTTAGGGTGCTGTGCCTCCTCAGCAGGGGTTTGGACTTGGGAGAGATGGGGGCAGGAGGCAGAGCCAGTCCCCGGGAGGGAGTAGGCTGTCGACAGTTTCTGGAGTCACCCAGGGACAAGTGGGTTGGGGGCCCTGTAGTGTTCATTCTTCTTTTGCCACCCTCCGGCTAGGAGCGGAAGCTGTGTGCCCACCCTCGGCTGGAGATCTACCAGCAAGACCAGATCCATTTCATGTGCCCACTGGCACGGCAGGGAGACTTCTATGTGCCCGAGGTGAAGGAGACAGAGCGGAAAAGCCGGGCGCCTGTGGAGGCTAGTGACGCCCCGATGGATGGCACAGGTAACGGGGTGGGGGAGTGAGGGTCAGGGCCTGCCTGGAGCCCTCTCCTGGAGCCAGGAGCATGGTTGAGGAGGCCCCTCTCCCGGTCTGGGTTGGCAGAGGTGGAGGAAGGAGACACACCTACCCCTAGGACCCACATGCAGAATTGTCTGTTCTCAGACACGTGGAGCCACGTAGATGTGGATTCACACACGTTACCCACTAGCAACACAGATGTAAACACCCTGCCCAGGTTTTCTTTAGCTGCAACAGGGGTACTCTTAGAAATACAGATCTCAGACAGCGGGAGGCTGACGATGCTCTGAAGGAATCTCTTGGGTGGGGCTCATCAGGAATGTGAACTGGCACTGGATCTGGAAGGTAAGGAGAAGAACAAGGTGTCTTTCTGGCCCCAGTGTGGGGTCCCACACAGGGCCAGCTGCTTTCTCCCTGTCAAAGCTAAGGGATGCAGGGAGGGGCAAGCCCCCAGCCAGAGAGCAGGCAGAGGGGAGCCAGGTGGAGCCTGCTGGGCAATGGCCCCACCCAGGCTGAGCTAGGAGATCAGACCCCTGCTCCTTCCACCAGAGCCAACCCACCCACCTACTGGCAGCCTTAATACCCCGGATGCAGGCCCCAGGTTTCTTGCCTGCTCTCAGCCCACTTGTCTGCCATTGCCTTGACTTCTTGTGACCCCATGGCTGTCCCCAGGAGTGAGGGGGCCTGCTGGTGATACCGCAAATGGTCCCAGGGGGCCTAACCCTTGGCCATCCTGGTGGAGCCTGGTGTGACTCCTTGAGGTCCATGACCTCTTGGAGTGGTAAGGGCTGAGGGAGAGGGGCTGTCCTCTTCACCTCCTCCTTTAGGAGGCTCCCTCCGCCTATCCAGTCTTCAGCAGCCAAGGTCACCCCAGAGAGGCATGTGTTAACAGGGACGGGAGGTATTAGGAGGCAGTCTCTACTCCCTAGGGCCCGTGTCCAACAGAGTTAAGTTCATCTGCCACTTAATTACCTCCATGGGGCTGCTCCCACCCGCCTGGTAGTGCCCAGCAGATACTCTTCAGTGCCCCTACTGTGGACACAGGACATAGCACAAGGTCAGCAGGCCCAGACAGTCCCCAGGGCAGGAAGCGGGAGAGCCTTGACCTTCCTGCAACCTCCCTCTGCTGCCTACCACCCCCTCCTCGACCCGGCCACCCAGCTTTTTTCTCTCCAAACACTGCCTGCCAGGGGTGTTGAAGGACTGCTTGACACCCACTGCAGCTGGCTGCAGCCACAGCTCCCCACACACACACCCCGCTCCTTGGTCTGTCCTCCCCACCAGCCTGCCTGCCCACTCCCTGGTAGAGGGGCCAAGAGATCTGCCTACCTCACGGGGCCTGTCCTGACACCCGGCGCAGGCCTGGGTGTCTGCCCACCAGGTGCATGCCACTTGCACAGCAGTGTGTGGTGGGTGCCTGGCCTGCCCAAGGCTTGGCCTGTCCCTGCCTGCCTCCCCACTGGGGCCCCTGCTTGGGCTAGGAGGTAAAAGGGGGTGATTAGCTGCCTTGCTCCTGTTATTACATTGATGTATTATTTAGCTCCAGAGAGGCGATGAATATTTGATCTCCTTGCACTGGCTGTGGGGGGCGGGGAAGGGAGGGACTAGGGTGAAGGTGGCAGCATCACATCCCTGCTCCAGCAGCCTTGGGGATTGAGGTGCTGCCCTGCCTTGTCTGGTGTCCTCTCCCCTGAGACATAGGACCTGCAGCTGTGCAGACCTTGGTGGGCTGGAGGGATGCTGCTTCCCTGTCAGGGGCTCCTTTACCAGAAGTGTCCACATGTCCCCAGGACATGTCCTAGCTAGCTGGGTCCTGGCCTGAAGGGGGAACCCGTGGGCTCTGTCCTCTGAGCATTCCTAGTTCAGGAGCTAGGAGTGAGGAGGTGGCTGGCTGGCAAGTAGCCAGGTTCCTGTACCTAGGGTCCCAAGAGAGCTGTTGGGTGGGTGGACAGGCAGAACATGACAGTTTAATGGGGGTGGGGAGAAACTGTCCTCCTCCTTCCAGGCCTGCAGTTTTTGGGACACTGATTATCATTTAAAAATTGATTGAGCGAGGGGCTGGAGTCTTGCCCCAGGATCAGAGTGACTGTTTGCAGCCCGAGGCTCAGTCTGGGCTTCCGTGTATATGCCTGCACCCCATTGTGCGGCCCGGCCCCCTTCTTGGGGCCCCAGCAAGAGGTGGGCCCTGGGCCAACAGCTTGGCCCTTCCTGGGCTTACTTCACCTCTGCCAGTGGGGCCCAGAGGGGATCTTCCCAGGATCGAGAGGACTGGAGAAGCAGACCCCAGGTTCCCCCACCCTACCCCAGGCTACAGATGAGGCTCCAGGAAAGTTCCAGGGTCCAATCCAAATGCCAGAGAGTCCCAGCTGTGCCCGGCTCAGGGCTCCATCACCATGGAGATGGGAGCTGGGGAAGCTGGCCCACCCCTCACCTTCTGTGATGTTTGACAGCTGCCCACCCCCACCCCCACGCCCCACAGAAAGGGAGACAGCATCAGCCTTCTCGGTCTGGATTTCTGCACATAGTGAGCCTGAGCTCTTTGCCCCTCCCTGCCACTCTCCCTCGCCACAGCCAGCATTCACCACCCCTGAATGGGGGAGATGAACCAAGGGTGTGTTGTGGGTAGGAGGCACAGCCAGGCCCTGTCTGGACTCTCCAACCACCAGCAGAGTGCTCTCAACATCCCCGCCTGCTGCCTGTGGCGCAGGAACCACCAGTGGGTGGGGTAGGTGGGTAGGGGCTTCTCTGGTTGCCCCTGGCGTAGCAGAAGAAAGCCCTTAAAGGGCCAGTGCTCTTCATTCCCACACCTCCTTCCTTGTAACTGATTGAACATTTCTCAGGAATTCTCCACCCCTCTCCTCTCCCAGCCCCCTCCTGAGGTGAGGGCTCAGAGGGTCCCCTGTGCTGTGGGCCAGGCCAGGGGCCAGCTGACTTCCTGGACATGGCTGCTCCTTTGGGAACCTGTAGGGGGTGGCAGAGGCTGGCAGGCCTCCTGGTCCATTCTCCAGTCCTCATGCCTTCTGGGCAATGTTCTGTGTAGCTGGCCTTGGACACACACCTGCCCTCTGAGCCTGAACTGGGGGGAGGAGGCATGCTACTTGGGCCTCTTCGTTCTACCCTCCACCCTTCACCTCAGGGATGAGTGACCCTTAATGGACTGGGGTCGGGGAGGCAGAGGCTTTATGGGAGTGCAGGGAGCTGAGGCTAATTCAGGGTGCGAGGGGGAGCGCACGGCAGGGTGGCCGCCATGTCTTCCTCTCCCTCTTCTTTCTCCCCCTCTCTCCTTCTCGCATGTCTGCAGCCCAGTCAGGGCAGAGGGCAGAGGGCAGAGGGCAGAGGGCAGCTGAAATGAGCCTCCTGGGTTGGGGCAGCTTTATTATTCATGAGCTGACATGTGCTGAGTTTCTGGCCTGGCGGGAGAGCCTCTGCCGTCGCCCTGGAGGAGGGTCGGGGGTCCTGGCTCCCGCTAACCCGTGCTCCCTCTTCTGGCTGCAGGAGCTGACACGAGTGACACCAGTTCTGTAAGCCTGGAGGTGGGGCCCGGCAGCCGGGAGCCTTCAGCCACCACACTGTCCCCGGGGGCGAGCAGCCATGGCTGGGACGACGCTGACACCCGCAGCGAGCATAGCTATAGCGAATCGGGTGCCAGCAGCTCATCCTTTGAGGAGCTGGACCTGGAGGGCGAGAGCCCCCTGGGGGAGCCACGTCTGGGCCCTGAGGCAGAGCCTCTGGGGGCCAACAAGTGGCCCCGAGAGCTGAGTACCCTTGAGAAGGGTGAGGAGTAACCCGAGGCGTACACCCTCCCAGGGTGCAGATGCTAAGGAACTGAACAGACTCTCCAGCCCTCTTCCTCCTTCACCTCCCGGGCCTGGGCCTGGGCTGGCACCAGGGCCTGGGATGACCTGACTTTCCCTGCCCCAGGCGTCTAGCTAAGCCTTCTCCTCACTGCCCTCTTGGCTAGCAGGGCCGGAGGAGCCAGAGGCTGTTTTCTGCACCAGCCTCCGGAGCCTACCGCCCCTGTTGTCTTTTTTCAGACTTACATGGCGCTTCCAGGACCCAGAATAAAGCAAATGATTTTCTTGTTTCACTTGGATCTGTGCATTTATTTGTTTGCTCTGCCTTGGGGAGCGCTGTGCGTATAGCTGGGAGCAGGCAGGAGCCCCCCCTAATACAAGGAGAGGAAGGAATGTGGCCAAGTACTCCACTCCCCTGCTCTGTGGCCCCAGGTGACTGCTGCCCCTCCATTGCTGCAGCCCCAGAGGCTTCCTGGGGGCTGCTGGAGGGCAGGCAGGGCAGGGGGTATAAAAGCTAAGTGAGAGGTTCCTTTGCACTCAGGAGTGGGGAGCTCGCAGCCTGCCTTTGCTTTCAAGGGATGTGTCTATGGCAGTGTGCTGGTGCTCACCGATACCTCCCCAGCAGGTAAGTATGTCCCTGCTCTGTCCGTGCCATGCGCTGGCATGTGTGATGCGCACACATGCGCATACCTTCCATTCTGTACATGCACCCATGTGTGGGGCTGCTGCCGTGTTCCTGGGTGAGCCTGTGCCCAAGTGGGCAGTAGCGTGTGATTGTGGCCAGGGGTGGTATTTGTGTGGATGGCTGCATGGCCATGTGACCATGTGCATGTGTTGCTGTGCTTTTGTGTGTCTGACTATGTGGCTGTGTTATAGATAGGGGGTGCGTGAAGCTGGCTAGCTGGAACATCTCTGTAGGGGCTTTGTATTCAGCTACCTGTGTGTGGCTGTGTCTCTACAGCTGTGTTCATGAGGCTGTATTTTCTTGTGTAAAGCTGTGTGTTTTTCTGTGTGTCCACGTATACAGCTATGTGTGTGTGTGCGTGTGTGCCCACACGTACAGCTGTGTATTGCTGTGTTCATGTGTTCAGCTGTGTATGTGATGGTGTGCTTATGTGTACTGCTATGTGTGCGTGGCCATGTCCACATGTATAGCTATGTGTGTAAGGCTGGATTTATGTCCTTGTCTTTGTGCACAGCTGGGAGTGGTGGCTGTGCATAGGTGTGTGTCTAACTGCGTGTCCATGTGCTGTGGCGAGATTGTGCAGCCCGCTTGCTGGGGCTGTGCGTAACCATATCTGCATTTATAAAGCCCTGTGCCTTTTGTGAGGCTGCCTCGGTGAGTGGGCTGGAGTATGGCTGGGATCGTGGTGCGGCTCTTCTAAGCACCCTCCTGCTGTCAGCCCCTCTGCTGCTGGGGCCTGGCCCATTACTCACCTACCCCAGGGAGTGGTGCTCGGCACCATCCAGGGAGGGAAGAACAGCCTGTGGCAAGCCAGAGTTGGAAGACAGTGTGTCTGTCTCCCCAGCCTTGTCTGACAGCTCCGAACCCTCATCCTGCTGCCACCTCACCTCCCATTAGCGATTGGGTTTGGGTTTGGGTTTGATGTGTGTGTTTTGTTTCAAAGCTCTTCTCTCCAGAGCAATGAGGCATTGGGTTTCTCTGTCCAGGGAAAAAGCCTGTCCTTGGTGACCCCTTCCCCCAACTGCCACATGCACATGTGGGGGTGTGTGCCTGAGGGGCCTGGGCGTGGTGTGTGCTCATTCACATGGGTCTGAGCTAGCCTTGCCTCCATTGCCACCTGTGGAAGAAAGGGCAGTGCCCGGGGACTGTGTATTGGGATGCTGTGCCCCTCAGCACTCGTTGGTGTGTGTGCATGCTGGGGGCAGATAGCACGGGCTGGATATCAGCACAGGTCCCCCTCCCAAATCCTTCAGCAATCTGGCACTGCAGCTGGAGTATCCAGCACCCCCTGCCCAGGGGCGTCCTTCCCCATCCCAGTGTAGGAGGGAGGACTCAATAGTGTCTTCTCAGAGCTGTCCTCCCTCTGCTCTGGCTCCAGCCTGGCTTCCTCCCACGCAGCAGCCAGTTCCAGGAGCCTTTCCCCCAGCCCCTCCCCTCGCAGATCCCCCTGCCAACCCTACATGTCCCACAGGGTTGAACTTACCTAGCCCCTGGCCCTGCCACCCTCTCCCCCGCCCCGCCCCCCGCACACACAGGTTGACCTCTCTGTCCTAAATACCCTTTGTATATGAGAGTGAGGTTGAAGGGGGGGCAAGCTTGGGAGGTCAGGGCTGGGTGGTGTGTGTAGGGGAGGGTAGCAGCTTTAAAGGTCATCTACAGAAAGGAAGGGGGGGCTCATCCTCCTCTGACCCCTCCCAGTAAAGTCCTCCTAGTGACTCAGGCCCCAGTTCTCACGGAGGGAGGGCGGAAAGGCAAAGACATGCCCTCACCCCAGACTCGGCATGTGGACCGAGCCGCAGTCGCTGGGTGGGGAGCATGGATGTAAGGACAGCGATAGAGTCTTGGGCGTCGGGCTAAGCTCTCGCCTATCTCCCATGCGCCCCCTCTACCTATCCTCCAATGTCACCCCTCGACCTAGGACCAGCCCTCTGCTCTCGCAGATGGGAACCCCTAGCACTGTGCGCACCTTCTGAGGTTCAGTGGCCCCGACCTTCCCAACCCAGTGCCCCGCGCCCGCTGCTCTCCGGGACGAAGACCGCGGGGCGCAGGGGCCCGCGAAGCACCAGCTCCAGCGCAGAGCAGGAGTGCCCGGGGATTCAGCACCACGCGGTGGACAGCTCCGGGCTGGGCGGCCCCGCAAAGAGCGCGAGCCGGATGGCTGCGCAGGGCGAGGAGCCGTAGAGGGGTCGGGAGGGAGGCGGAGGCCCGGCTGGGAGCGGGAGACCCGGAGTGGGGAGGGAGCGAAGGAGGGGCTGGGGGCGGGCCGGGGCCGGGGGCGGGGCGGCCGCGATTGAAAGCCGCGGGGCGAGCGAGCGGGCGGGCGGAGAGCGCAAAGCCGCCGAGCGAGCGAGCGGGAGCGGGAGCTCCGCGCCTCCGGCGCCTCTGTTTCTCTCCGCGCCAGAGCCGGGCGCGCCAGGTAGGGTGAGCTGGTGGTGCCTAGGCCACCGCCGACCTTATCGGTCCTGACTTGCGTCCCGGGGACCTGCGGGCCCTCGAGTTCTGGGGCACCCGGGCCGGGACTGGCCGGGGCGTCCAGACGGCGCTCGCCGGGAGCTCCGAGAAGCGGGAAGGCAGCCCGGGGCGTCCCGCCTTTCTTCCCCAGATGACGCCTGCCCTGCATCGCACTCCCTCGCGCCTCCTGCTCTTCCTGCTCCTCCGTCCTTTGGACTGTCTTTCTGTCTGTGTCCCCAGTCTTTGTCTCAGCCTCTCGGCTTCACTTGCTCCCTGCCCGCATTTTGTGGCCCTGTCACTGGGGCTACCCGCCTCCAGGGTTCTGTTCCCCTCTGCGCCACTTAGCTCCCTTCCGGGCCTCCCCTGTGGAGAGCTTTCAGTCTTGACCAGTTTGGGTGTCAGCCCCATCTCTGTCTCTTCCTCCTCTGTGTTGCTCTCCATCCCTGCCTGTCTCTTGTTTGCCTGGTTGAGCAGCTCCTTTCGGTGGGGCCACCACAGGACCCAATCCCCTGCCTGGTCTGGGGACCAGCAGATGGATCAGCCCTGGAGAGCAGAGGGGTCAAAATGAGGCGCCCTAGTCTCTGTGGCCAGGAGCTGGGGCCCTTGAACTAGTTTTTGTCTTTCTTCAGCCTCAGTTTCCTTTTTGATTCTGAGGAAAGATGTACATCCTTCTTTCCAAGCCTGCATGATTGTGAGAGCCTGTGTGGGGTCGGTGTCTGGAAAGGCAACTGGGGCAGAAACGACGGGGGTGCAGAGTGGAAGAGGGAGGGAGGGTGTCTCTGAGGGCGAGGCCAGACTGGACAGGGCCCTGAGGCTGAGGATGGGGAGACTGGAGATGGTGTCTTTCTCTGCTTTGTTCTCAGCTGAAGAGAAAACTGAGGCATAAAGTCTTGAACAGCATCCTGCATAGAGCTAGGGAGTCCAGAAGTCACCTTCAGCACTGTTTTGAGATTCTGACCAGACAAATGCTCCCCCTACTCATATCTGCTTGCCCTGGTGACTTAGGACCTGTAGCTACTTGGGTGTCCCCCCCGGAGCCGGCCTCTCCACTTTGTTGTCTTGCCCCCAGGGCCTAAGGTCTCTAGTCATCCCTCGGTCAGGAGGCTCCGGGCATGGCTTTTGAAGAACCAGAGGCTAGGACCCTTGGGTGCTCACTTGAGTTTCAGTCTCCCCAGGGTTTGGAGACTGTCCCTTAGAGATTCTCTCCTCCTCCTTCGACAGTGGGTCCTTAACCAGCAATGCTCCCTCTCTGGAAATCCAAAACTCAGGATGGGGACTAGATCCCCAAGTTGGACATGTGTCTGCTGCAAAGGTGTTGACTTTGGGGTCCTGGGGAGTTTGTGCAGGATCTCAGACACCTTTGATTCACAGAGGGCTTGATGTTGACTGGGGTCTCCTCTGCCTGGCCTCCACTCCCTGCCTCCCTCCCGCTCTGCTGAGTTTGAGATGGGCACAGGGCTCATCTCCAGATCAGGGCAGGGCTGAGAGACAGGCCCAAGAGATGCTCTAGGAGCTGCTCAGTCTAGGTAATGAGGCTACTCTCTCCCTGGCTCCTGAATCCCTGGGAAGGGAAGTGGGGGGCGGAGAAGGCAGTCCAGCAATTGCTCTCAGTTTCCACTTTGCCCACTCTGTCTATCTCTCTGCAGGAGCTGGGCCCCTTCTCATCTCTCTTCCTGCCTATCCTTTCCTGGCCCTTTTTCGGGCCCCTGCTTCCCCTACTCTTTGCCTTTGCTGCTTCTACACTCATCCTGTGGAGGTCCAGGTCTGCTGGACGCATCCGCCCCCTTCTGGGCCATGGGATCGCTGCTGGGGCTCCTGGCACTGCTGCTGCTGTGGGGCGCTGTGGCTGAGGGCCCAGCCAAGAAGGCGCTGACCCTGGAGGGGGACCTGGTGCTGGGTGGGCTGTTTCCAGTGCACCAGAAGGGCGGCCCGGCGGAGGAGTGCGGTCCGGTTAACGAGCATCGCGGCATCCAACGCCTGGAGGCCATGCTTTTCGCGCTGGACCGCATCAACAGCGACCCGCGCCTGCTGCCCGGCGTGCACCTGGGCGCGCACATTCTCGACAGCTGCTCCAAGGACACACACGCCCTGGAGCAGGCGCTCGACTTCGTGCGAGCCTCCCTCAGCCGCGGCGCCGATGGCTCACGCCACATCTGCCCCGAC